TAGACATTTATACAACTTATGAAGTGATCACCTCAATAAATCCAGTATCCATCTGACAACATACAATATTATTGACTACGTTGTACTTTACATTCCCATGACTATTTTTATAACTGACAATTTGTACTTCTTAACCCCTTTCACCTTTTACACCCACTCCCATCCCCCTCCCATCCGGCAACCATCAGTTTGTTTTCTGTATCTATGAGTTTGTTTCTGTTTCTCTTGTTCATTTATTTTGTTTTTTAAATTCCACATATAAATGAAATCATCTGGTATTTGTCTTTATGGAAATAATTTTAGTGTTGAGGTCTTGTACCCCTATTGTGTAGCTTTCTACATTAGTACTTTATGGTTACAAAGCACAATTATAAAGCTGGCCAGCTACTTAACATAAAAAGTTCATTCTAGCAACAACAAAAGAACTGTTTTCTGACTTAGCATTCAATAAGAGAGACAAGAACAAGTCATTCTTTAAAGGGCAATTTTCTGTTTAACAGTAAATGAGCCTAGTAGAAAAAATAATGAATAGATTTAAGCATGAAAAGCATCTGCCTTCTCTGCAAGTCTGCTGGCTGGCAGGGCCACAAAAGTGGTCCAAGGTCTAGAAGTAGTTACACAGGCACTGACTACTTCTGAGAGAGCTGGGAATGGGCAGGTTGTATTTTTAGATTATGAGCTTCAGGTACCTGGAGACCATAACTTGATGATTCTCGCAGCACACTCTTGCATAGTGCCACATGCATTTTCTTAAAAAATATATTTTTATTGATTTTTTACAGAGAGGAAGGGAGAGAGATAGAGAGTTAGAAACATCGATGAGAGAGAAACATCAGAAATATCGATCAGCCGCCTCCTGCACATCTCCTACTGGGGATGTGCCCGCAACCCAGGTACATGCCCTTGACCAGAATTGAACCTGGGACCTTTCAGTCCTCAGGCCAACGCTCTATCCACTGAGCCAAACTGGTTTCGGCGCCACATGCATTTTTGACATTCCAGTGTCCTTTACTACTGATATCGGAAACCCGTCTATCTTTGTCCATGAACCTCAAGAGCAGTAGAGGAACTTTCACCTGTGCTCAAGTGTTCCCATACCACTTAATGCCCATCCAAGAGCGGAGAAGTCTTCCCCTACTTCATCATAAAATATTTTATGATGCCAATTATGCGAAACCCAATCACTCACATAATTCATAGTGAGATGAAATAAAGTGCCTGGAGAATCATGGGAATGATCATAAAAATGGTCATGGATGCACACATCTTTCTAATTTCAGTAATTCCTTTTTCCTGGAAATAGAGGGAATTAATCATTCATTCCTCCCTTTTAACTACAAATATAGATATAAATGCATTTAAATGGAGGACTTAGGTTGAGCATCATAATCACCAACTTCCTTTATGAATGGGGTCAATTCAAAGGAAGGAGAAAAAGACAAAAACTAGCAACATTCCCCCCTCTCTCTCACTGTATTAATTTACTATAAATACATAGGAAAGGAATATTCTTACACTTTTATTTAACTTTTAATTAACAATAATTTAAGGCCTTCATTATAAAACATCAAATGAAAAAGAGCAGAGTTAGCTTACTTATGTACATATTTATTTTAGTGGAACACACCTCCCAGGTATAGGTATTTAAAAGCACATCAAAGGGTAAATTGTTAATTACAGGACTAATGTGGCATACTGATTCCCTGCAAAGTCTCTTAGCTCTATTTTCCTCTATCACACACAAATGGAGAACCTACTCTTTTGTGCATATATTTTTTTGTTTCCCATTTTAACAACTTTACCACCAACTGAATTAACATGAACATGTTTGTGAATCCTACAAATAAAACTCTGTAGTCTGCTTTTTTAAAAAAAAGTCTGCTTAATAGTCTTTTGGTTGTTATAAATTCTTTTCATCATCTTTGCACTATACAATCTCAAATCTTATTATAAATGACAAAAAAAATATTTTTAAAGGAAAAAAAACTAGCTTCAATGATCCTTTTTCAATTCATTACCGTAGAACTTCTCTGAAACACCAATGACAATGCTTTTACACACTTTCCCATCAGCACTTTCACCTGTCCCACATCTCTCCTTTCTAGCTAAAGGAAGATGCAAAGTCACAAAGAAGCACACCTTATGCTTTCCCAAGAAAAAGAATGAGGTTCTGAACTCCATCTCTGAGTGGGTGACCAGTCAGGTTCGCCTTCCTTGTGTTCTCCCCTCTGCCTCAGGATGTGCACCCACAAACAGAAGTGGTGAAAACAGGTAGGGGGCTGTCACAGGTCCACCTGATCTTACTCAGGACTGAGTGAGGGGATCTGTTTGTGGCCCCATGCATGTGTGTGAGAGCAGGAGAAAGGAGGAAATGCAAAGGGACTTCTCCAACCCTGGCTACTTGAACACTTCACATTGCCATGTACCCACCACCTTCAACAACTGACTGCAGATCTCTGTGCAAATGAAAATGTTAGGCCCCGAAAAAGTGACTTTTCTAATGCTTCAAATAGACAACCCACATCCTCACAAGGAAAACAAATTCTTGTTTATTTAAAAAATGTCTTTTGTGCTTGGAACCAAAACACTCCTCTAAACAATATCATGTGGTGGAAAACAAAAGGAACAAAGGAGGTTTTAGTAACTGGGTCTTGTTGTGTTAAATAAATGCAGCATGAAGTTTACATATTTATGTGGGTGTAATGATGTAATCCGATCTCAGAAAACTCATACCTTTACAAGATGATGTTGGGATATATGCATTCCTGGGTACTGAGATTAACAAGACATTTATATAAAATGGCACACATTGTTGGGAAAGAAAAAATATTGCCACCTTTATGAAGAAAAAAAAAAAGACAAAGACCAGCCATTCATATAAAGTATTTTGCTCAATTGTCTGTTAACTTAAAATTGGATTACTCTTTTTTTCCTTCCAGTTTAGAATGGTCCAACAAATTTTCTCTAAGCACTCCTAATCCAAGCTGAATCTTGTTTTCTTTTTTCTATTTCTTTTATTTCACACTAAAATTTTCTCTATTTTTTGGTCCTATTGTATTGTATATAAGCCACTGCATATCTTTATTTGAACATCTCTTTTTCCAGTCCCAAGAAGCAGGTAGATTTGACTCTACCTTGTTCAAAGAGCATGTGTCTGAAGCTTACCTCCTAGCTGCCTTGGGAAAATAAGTCTGCATGACAACTGTACTCTTAGCTTCACATTGGCAGGGGAGAGTTTGGAGGGTATATGTGCATGACAACTGTACTCTTAGCTTCACATTGGCAGGGGAGAGTTTGGAGGGTATATGTGTATGTAAGCATTATAAATCACCAGTATCAAACCCAGCTTGAGGTACATACAGAACCAGGGCCTGCATTTAGAGGTGCTACATTTAGACATTTCAATTCTGCCCCCTTTTCTAGGAAACCTCAACAAACTGAATTTCTATACTTTTCCCAATACTGTTAAACCCATAAGTGGCAAGATTATGGTTTGCATTCTCAGTGGTCTGACCCAATGCTAATATAATAGCTAGTATTTATTGAGCACTTAGTATATGCCAAGCATTGTTCTAGGCCAGGGGTGGGCAAACTTTTTGACTCGAGGGCCACAATGGGTTCTTAAACTGGACCAGAGGGCCGGAACAAAAGCATGGATGGAGTGTTTGTGTGAACTAATATAAATTCAAAGTAAACATCATTACATAAAAGGGTACGGTCTTTTTTTTTTTTTTTAGTTTTATTCATTTCAAACGGGCCGGATCTGGCCCGCGGGCCGTAGTTCGCCCACGGCTGTTCTAGGCACTTAACATAAACTATGACATTTAATCATTTCAACAGCACTATGAGTAGTGTTAATTTTACCCGCATTTTACAGATGTATTCAGTAACTTGCCAAAGTACAAATTCACATTTGTAAATAGGAGCAGAGCCAGAATTCGAAGCCAGAGTATGCACTCCTGACCACTGAGCAACACTTCTTCCAACTCCCCAGACACTTAATCAAATTTTGATATGAGGATAGAGGATTTTACCAAGTATGGTCATGAAAATGTGGGAAAGCAGTTGAAAGGCCAATTTTTCAACTATAAAGGGGAATATCTTTGATAACACAGAAGCTCTGCCTTTTTATCATATGTTCAGCCACTGAGCAATGAATGGTATCTTTTGAACCAGGCTGTGATGTAGACACTGCCCTAGACCTAAATGATACCAGTAACTTTCTACATGACCTCTATTTCCAATCTCTTCCCAATCCATGTTCTATCCTTTCCAAATCAATTATAGTAAGGGTTCTAATATTCTATGCTTTCTATTGTGTTCTATGCTTTTAAAATTGATTCTATTCCTGGCTCTAATACAGACCAAATCAGAATAATTGAGTAAAAGAATCGGATTCTCTTATTTATCTCAAAATGTAAGCTCATTAAGGTAAGAGCTGTATCTTTTTCATTTTCATTTCTTCTGTATTGCCTTTTAAGTAGTAGACTCTCAACAATGTTGCAGTTATTTAAATAAGGTCCTTGTCAGTCTTGACTACTCTTTGGGGAATAGTGTGGGGTAATCCCAATTGACAAAATATTCTGGGTAGAGGCAGGGGTAGACATACACAAAATTATGCATACACAGGCAATTTTCCTTTGAATCTACATTGTTAGTTGTGTGTTTAGCTACGAATAATAGAAAAACTAACTAACTAGCTCAAATCAATAAAGAGTTTCTTTTTTTCTATATAAGATCCAGGGTAGCAATTGTCACGATTATTCCACTGCTCAAGCATGTCCTGAGGTTCAGGCTCTTTCTATGCTTCCCCTTTACTATACTCTTTGTACTGGCTTTCCCTCAGCATGATTTTTATCTTATGTGGAAGGACGTCTCTGGACATCACATCCATACTCAGAGCAGGCAAATGGGAAGGGGCAACACCAGCTAGCCCTTTCACTAGGAAAGCAACATTCACCAGAAGCCCCCACTCCCACCCCAGGCAGGCTTTTACTTACATCTCATTGGTTGGCATATTGTCACATGGTCACTCATCAGCAAGGAAAGCTGGGGAAGTCAATTAGCCTTGGCAGCCTCTTTAGTGAAAGGAGACAAGAGGGAAGGGGGTTAGAAATTGCTGTGGTCATTTGTGGGGCCAGGTGGGTACTTGAAGTATCTGGGGGGGACCACTCTGTGGAGTACATGGTTGTCTGGCCACCATGCGGTACATCTGAAGCTAGTACAGACTAGTACTGAATGTAAACTGTAATTGAAAAGTGAAGGAAAAAAATTCCTGTTGGGCCCTGGATGGCGTCCTCAGTGGTTAGAGCGCTGACCCTCACACTGAAGCGTCATGGACTTGATTCCCAGTCAAGGGCGTATATCTCAGTTGCAGGTTCAATTCCTGGCCTGGTCGTGTGGGAGGCAACCAAACGATGTGTCTCTCTTACATTGAAGTTTCTCTCTCTCTCTCTCCCCCTCCCATACACTCTTTCTAAAAATCAATGGGAAAAATATCCCAAGTGAGAATTAACAAAACAAACCAGCAAAAATGCTGTTGGTCAGCCAGTCAAAAGTACCTGCCACATATTCTTTTCTTTCTATTTTCTTTGCCCCCATGAAAGCATTACTTCCAGGAAATTCATAACAGGTGCTCTTTCCACCATCTCTTACCAGTCTATATACCAAAACTATTTCCAAGGAAAGACTATAGACTTATGGCAAGTTCTGGGTGACAATGACCTCTCCGGCATTTATATGTTAAGAGGAACCAAAGTCTTAAGCTAGACCCTGTCAATTATCTATCATCACATGCACTTTTGACAACTGGGGTCAGATAACTCTTTGTTCTACATGAATGACTGCTCATGCAGAGCATTCTCATCACGTCTGGCCCCTTCTCCAATAGATAGTAGTAATATAAAGTGTCTCTCATTTCTAAATGCCCCATAGAGAGCTTCCAGGTGAGCCCTGACTGGTTTGGCTCAGTGGATAGAGCATCGGCCTGTGGACTGAGGGGTCCCAGGTTTGATTCCAGTCAAGGGCATGTACCTTGGTTGCGGGCATATCCCCAGTAGGGGGTGTGCAGGAGGCAGCTGATCGATGTTTCTAACTCTCTATCCCTCTCCCTTCCTCTCTGTAAAAAATCAATAAAAATATATTTTTTTTTTTAAAAAGAGCTTCCAGGTGTGAGCCACTGAGTCAGTGGAGCTCCTAAATGCACTGTCAGAAACCAGCAGCTTGGGACTGAGTAAGAAACTGAGTTGGGAAAGAGAGTGGAAAGGAAAGTCTGATGGGTCAACAAGATCCTCTCAGAACCCCTGAGAGGTTAATGCATCTGAAAAAGAGAAAAGCCTAAATAACTTTTCTTCACTACTTGCCATTAGCTCTTAAGAAAGATCATCTGGGGTCCTGACCAACATCACTGCATTCACAACCCATCAAAGACCACAAATGGAATGAGCACAGGGTTAGTGAGTAGGTTTGCCATTCAGTTCGGAGAATGGCCAAAAAAGCAGACATTTACGCACACCACACACAAACTCATGTGGTCATGCAAGCTTGTTTTAAAAACCAGTTTATTGCTGTATCATCCATATACCATACGGTTCACCCATTTGAAGAACACAATAGCCATTTTGTTTTCAAAGTGGATTTCACTTGTGTCTGGACGAGTTGTTCTCTCAGAGCCTTTCCAGCTCAGGGACTCTCCCGTTTGTTGTGCTCTCCCACTTGCCCTCTTTATGAGGGGATGGAGGGGGTGGAAAGGAGATGGCCTGGCTCTGCAATCAGTCCTGTGGGCAGAGACTCTACCTGCTTCAACAGCCTCGCACCAAGTACATGGGGAATAGTTATAATAGTTATAAGTTGTAATGTCCCTCAAAGAACTCAAAGCTGACATTATATATACAATGTTATACGTATAACAATGACAGGAGTATTTATTTTCATGCCTGCAGTAAGTAGATAACGGGTAAATATGATTATCTTTACCGCAGTAATAACGAAAGTGAAAGGCATTGGTTGGGGTGGCTGAGTCAAAGTCCTTCCATTTATCCCGGGTCAACTGTGCTGAGACTTCCAGTGAGAGTGCTCTGCTTTTATCTCTTAGGAGAATAAACGTTAATGGCAGTTTTCTACACAGTAGAGAAGCAAAAATTACAATAAAATACAATTTCTTTGTAACATATTCTTGATGTGTTTTTTCAAACTTGATCATCTGTTACTAACAATGAGGATATAGCACTTATATAACAATTTTATCCACACAGCACTTTTCAAATGTTAATTAAACATCACAAGCACCCTGGGACTGAGAAAAAAAAACCTTATTGTATTTGACATATATGCTTCTTGTAACATATATGTTAAATACTCTGTTTGGAGTTCATTAGAATATTTGTGACACAGATTAAGAAAATCTCATTTTAACTATTGACCTACATTCTTTCATAATGCAATAGAAAGTGTTATTTAAAGTATTGATTAAATATTCTGAAATTTTCATTTAAATAGAATAATATAGGACTTGAGGCTCTTAAAGTATATTTGGTATGATATATTGTAATTTGAAAGCATAATAAAGTAACATTAATTGGATTGTTTTAAATCAACCCTTGAGAGAGGGTTAAACAGATCATCAAAATTATTAACATTTATCAAACCTTCTCTAAGTTAGACACAATTATAAATGGTTTACATTTATCAGTTCATTTAATCCTGGCAACAGCTCTCTAAGGAAGAATTCACAATGATCCCCATTTCACAGATGAGGAAACAGATTGAAGAGAGGGGTAATAATATGAGTATGGTTAGATAGCTAATAGGAAGCTTAGATAGGTAGCCCGGCTCCAGAGTTCATGCTCTTAAACTCTATCAGACACTATTAAATTCACAACTGAGAGTAAATTTTTAAAAAGGACATTGTAAATCAAAGGCCCATTGAAAGTTATTAGGATACAACCTATCCAGGCCCTTAGAAGTCTTAAATATGCTTACTTGTGAATATAAAAAATGAGCTTACGTTATGGCACCATTACAGATTTGGAAAAAATAATGATAGATTTCATATTTTTAAGGTGGATTTTAATGCTTGGTAATTATTTTAAATGCACATATATTAAAAATATTCTCTGACACTAATCACAGTTAAATTTTTGAATTTTTAATTTGTCAATTTGTCTGTTAATAACTTTTAAAACAACTGTTAAACTTAACACTAAGTGGAAAATATGCCATATGTAAAATTTCTTCTTTAGATATGTAAAATACATAAAGATGTGTCTGTGTGTGTATGTGTATGAGAGAGAGATTGAGAGAGAAAAAAAAATAAGTTAAGAACAAGTTGAATAAAACCTTTATATTAGAAAGAACCAAACATCTATGTAACCTTTGTTCACATATATTGTTTCAAATATAGGAATTTCAGTGGATATTCGCTAAGCATTCTCCATGCATACAATGTCTATTGAGCTTCTGCTATGAATCTTTGGCAAAGAAGAAAAATGTTTTAAAATTTGTCTAGCATCCTCTTATCTATAATGATTATGTTAGTACAAGTAAATTGAAATAAAAAGAAATGTTCATTTACTATGATTGAATCTATCAAGATACATGACTTAACATCTAGATTGCAATCAAAGTATAGTATCATCCTGAAATAATT